TTTGATGTTGACCCTACTCGGACAGTTGAAAACTCGGACAGTTGATATTTTGATACTTTTTTTAATAATTTAAAAACTCGGACAGTTGATTTAACGAAATATTATTATTATTTAAACCATACTCGGACAGTTGAAAACTCGGACAAATGAACCTCACCCAACTTAACTAATTGAGCTTTGTCTGTTTTTTACAATGGGGAGTTGGTATCTAAACACACTTAACAACAACAAAAAACTATTACTATTTTATCAAAAGTTGGTGATCCTTAATAGCTTTATTAATAGATAACAACGGGTTTTAAATCAGGTTTAAGATTTTTCCGTGTTCGCAGATTATGATAGGCGTTCCTGTGATGGCGTGAGATGTTCACAATTTTGTCGCGATATATGGTGACGATAACGATACCCCTCATAGCGTGAGATGTCAACGATTTTATGGAAAATGCAGGTGACGATGATGATGTCTGATGGCAGGAGATGTTAACGATTTTCCACGATCGCAGGTGACGTTAATCATGTCCACGTGATAGCGGGAGATATTCCCGATTTTACGGCTATTGCAGATGACCATGATGATGTCCCCGTCATAGCGGGATAAGTTGATTTTTCTGCGATCGGAAGTGAAGTTAATCATGATGGCGGGACATTTTCACAAATTTGCTGCGATCGTAGGAAATTATTTTTTTCGGCGCCCCCTGGCTGGATCCACCACTGACCATTAGACAATACGCCCCAGCTATTATTAGCAAGAATCATCACTCAATTAAACTTACATTTTAAAACTTTCATTTTATGACACAATCATGACGTTTGCTACTATATTATCTTAAATAATAAAATTTAATTAACTTTTCAAACTTATTAAGGGACAAGGTAGCTGCCGAGGCCTATTTTCAAATTTTCGGCGTAATGCCAACTTTTACTGTTATTTATATTTTGATATTTATACTTTAATTGTGTTTATATTACACTAATCCAACAACATATACTTTAGAACTGTTAAAATAAATGTTAAAAAATATGTGACCGATTGGGTCGGTAGCGATTTTTTTCAACGAATATTCATTGAAAAAAATTGCTGCCGGCCCGATCGGTCCCACGTTTATACCGTTTAGAGGTTGGCACCGTGTCAGCTGTTCCCGCGCAAAGGCTCTTGGTCTATTTTTTCACTGATCTGCAATGCTCCCGCCATCAGTTTCGCGCCTTTATGTCAGTCTGAGTCTAGGCCTACCTCGAGCTGTTGTTCGTGTTGTGTTTTCTGTCTAAGTTTGGCTCATTGTATTATGTTAGTTCAATATGGGTGATAATCTAGGCAGTGATGATATAGTAAGAGCAATCAAAGCTCCTTCTAGTGAATTTGACCAAAATATGGATGGTGTAAGTGATGATGGTTGGGGCAGTAATGTAAACAGTGAGATGGACGACACAGATGATGACCCGGATTTCAACCCTACTGATGACTCAGAGGCAGGCAGTGCCATCGATGACAATGAGGTTGGTTTTATAGAAAGTGTGAATGGTACGGATGAAATGATTGATTCTCTTAGTGAAAATATGACTGTAGCGAGTGAAAGTGATAAAAATAGAAATGGAAGATTACACTATTAACTTAGGAGAAATATTTATTAGTTTTAAAACACAGAACAAAAAGTTAAAGATGAAAAAAGATGAACTTGATAAATGGCAGCCGTTTGAAGGCAAACAGAAAAACATTGTTTTTGAAGGATCATCGAGGTATGCTTTCGGCCTGCCCCAAAATGCAAAACCAGAAGAATTTTTGTATGCATTTTTAACAGATGATTTACTAGAAATGATGGTAGATGAAACTAATCGCAATGCTGATCAAGTTATAAGTACACTGTGATTGAATCGTAGTAGCAGACTCTGTAAATGGTGGCCTACCTATCCAAATGAGATGAAAAAATTTCTCGGCCTTTTACTATGGATGGGTCTAGTGCCAATGTCACGGCTGACAGACTACTGGTCGAAAAACTTATTGTATAAGAATGTTGTTGCTGGTAAGGTAATGAGCAGAAACCGTTTCCAATTGCTTTTGAGATTCTGGCATTTAACGACAATTTGAACATGGAGCGAGATGGCCGACTAGGTAAAATATCTCCTCTGATCAAAATCCTGAACAACTCCTTCAAGACTAACAAAACTCCTGGCAAAGATGTGGTTATCGACGAGAGTATGATCCCTTTCAGAGGAAGACTTCTATTTCGCCAATACCTTCCAAATAAAACCCACAAGTACGGCATTAAGGTATTTAAAATATGCAACACTGCTGGCTACACGTACAAGATGAAAGTTTACATGGGCTCTGGGACAGGAACTGAAGATAACCTGACATTAGCAGCATCAGTTGTAATGGACCTCATGAGAGATTATTTGGACCAAGGGCATACACTGTATGTTGATAATGTTTACACCTCCGTTGATCTTGCCAATATGCTTCTAGCAAGGAATAATCACCTTGTTGGAAGTGTTATCAGCAACAGGGCCTGGTTCCCTCGTAAAAAAACCATTGGCACTAATTCCGATGACCCCATGAAGAAGGGTGAAATGAGATGTCTTGAATACCCAAGTGGTATCATTTACACCAAATGGTAAGAGGGAAGTGAGAATGATGTCAACCAAACATCCTCCTGACTATGTTGATACAGGGGAAAAAACCAGGCAGGGCGAACCCATTCTGAAACCTGTTGTCATCGTCGAGTACAACAAGGCGAAGATGGGGATTGATGTCAGTGACCAGATGTCGTCGTACAGCACAGCCATTAGAAAATCTATGCGACGGTACCATAAGGTCGCAGAAGAGTTCCTACTGGGTACAGCGGTCGTCAATGAGTGGCTCGCCTACAAGGATGCAGCTGGGGTCAACTCTCAGAGTAAGAATAAGCATCTCTACTCCATTACGACCTTCAGTGAAAAGATTGTGTACGCACTACTAGGGTTGCAAAATGGACAAATCGAGCCAATGAAACATGTTGGACATCACCACTTGTCTGAAACGGTGATATTTGTAGGCGAGGGTAAGAACAAAAGGAGAGCCCGGAAGAATTGTAAAGTGCGCTATGCAACCGCTTCAAGAGCTACTATGCAAGAGCTTCACGAACTGGAGACCGAAAAATAACAAAGAACCTCAGGAAGATCACTACATTTTGTGAATCGTGTCCTGGGAAACCATTTCTTTGTAAAGATTGTTTCAAGAACTTACATAAATAGGCAAGACCCTTGTGAACTCTGGTAGTTATTCTGTACGATTGTATTTTTCACATTTAGTGCTTTGTTTTCTCCCATGTAGGTGACTTGAAATGTTATTTGAAATGTAAATGTTAACTGTCATTTCAACAAAAATTACGTAATTTCTTTCATTTCAAATATGTAGTTTTAGCATAAGTATACAACGTGTTGCGAAATTAAAAACTATCTTGTCAATATACGGTTTAATCTTTATTACATTCCTAACAAGTTTATTACAGTTAGATTCAAGTTTTATTCATATTTCAGCACTAACAATGATGTTAAAGTTAGAAAAAAATGTGCCGACCCGATCGGTCGGCAAAATATAGCCTATTGGTAGTCGATGTATAAGTAAAATAAAAAAATTTGTGACTAAAATTAACATTCTATAACATATTAGCATGGTTTTCTCAGATTAGAACTATTTAAAAAGTCCCCAACAACCACTGATAAAAGTCACGGATCAATTTACTTAAGTCATGCAAAATCCCGCTGCCGACCTGATCGGGTCGGCGTGGCAGCTAACGTGTTAACGAGTACTTAGGTTTGCTGCAACAGGGAGGGTAAAAGTGCTTTTGTTGTAAAATCTTAATAGTTTAGTAAGAAATTACAGTAGACTCCCTCTTATCCGGATACCTTTTAACCAGACATCGGTTTAACCGGACTACACTCGACGGAAATGACATCTCTTTAACCGGACAATTTTTATCAGCACATTGGTTTAACCGGACTAGATCGACAGGAAGTCGTTGGTACTTTAACAACTGTTCTTGTGGGAAAGATTTGAGACCAGTGATCACAAGTCTAAATTCAATGCTCTCCTAAATTTAAGTCGAATATCACTGTAAACGGTCCATTTTAATGAGTTTTTGGTGACGTCAACTTAACCGGAAAAACCGTTATCCAGACTGGCCTTGGTCCCGAGGAGTCCGGATAAGAGGGAGTCTACTGTAATGTATTTTCCAAATTCGATAAAAATATGTCCATAAACAAGAAAACTACAACAGTTGACTTATTCTCCATAAAAATAACATGGGGATTTTAAATTTACTATGTTTTGGAATTTTCTCCCTAACCATTAGGCGCACAAAAACGCTTCACTGTACTAAATTATTTGTTTTTTTTAAGCTCTACAAAATGGTTTGGAAAGAAATCGCTAAATTTTGTGCTTTTATGGTCATAAATGGGGAAAAACCTATTTTTATTTTTATCCCATAAAACCCCCCATAAACCCCCACTCCCATAGTCCGATCATGCTGGTTCGCGAACTCGTTAAAATAAATGTAGGTTTACACGTTTATACTAAATTTATTCAAAATCGGATCATTTTTACTCGAGTTATCGTGCTAACGGACACATATATATAAATATATATCTATATATCCATATGAATTTGAACGGATGGTGTTTTTGGCCTCTAGGGACCTCAAAACGAAAAAGTAAATGGGTCCCGGGTCCAGGTCTTACCATGAGTACTACGGTAATAGCTTATTCCCTATTTGGGAAATTGGCTAAAAAACTAAATACTATTCAGAAAGGGTATTTTTTTAAATTATTGTCAATTTACAAATAAAGCAGTTTGAATTTGAAAAGTAACAAAACCTATATTTGATCTTTGCTGACACAATTTTTCGCCATAGAAGTAATGAGTTGATAAGAAAGCTGTGTACAGGTCCATATGTGGCCAGACAGGTCTACAAACAATAATTTCAGTATTAGTTTTAACTAATTTACGAATTCTTTAGCTGACTCACCAGAAGCGATATCAGCCAGTATGCGCTGCGCTAGGTTGTACCTCATGATAGTCTCCCCATGGCCAGTGGTGGACACTGTCCCTCGCTCATCGTCTGCATACCCTCCACACCCCAGCAATGGCGTGTCACCAATGCGACCGTTGTACTTGCCTGTGATACCTCCAGTAGAAGTGGCTGAGGCCATGTGTCCGGCTGCATCTATGGCAACACTGCCCACTGTGCCCACCCCTACCTCTCTGTAGAAGTACAAATGTTTGACAAATACATTTACTAACAAATCAGTTGATTTAAAGGCTGGAGGAGAAAGATAAATATAAAATAATGTTTACCCAACCCGCCATGTTAAACTTTCCTATCCCAAGCATGATGTAAACAACTTCTTTACTTCACAAGTGAAGTAATGTTTCAAAAACTCACTAGGTGAAGTAATGAATTTATATAACATTTATATAATTTATATAACATTGAGTCCTCAACTTAATAAAACATACCTCTATGGAGCCAACGGCGTTCAAGGCTAGAAATCAGCTGTGTGCTTGAATGTTATTGTTATGCTTTAACGTATTTAGATTATAAAAGGTATAATGTTACCTGGATCTGCCAGAGTAATCCAAAGGCTGTCTGTCGAGACTACGCGTTTCGAAGCAATAATAGCTTCATCATCAGGTCTTCAAGAAAACTTTTCAATCGTCAGAGGTCGTCAAATAAATTTAATTTTTACAAACATATATACGAAAAATAGTAGGCCTACGAACCGCGTGCGCACACTTAGACAGGTTTGTCATGACTCAAGGAGTCATATTCAATATTTTTTCAATATTTTTTTAAAGTATTTTCCTAACCTAGCTTTTATTTTTAAAAGAACGTTACTGTTAGAAGATGAGTGAAATGGATAATGAAAAATATTGTACGTAACCCCCTGTATAATGGGTATATGGGTCAGGTAAAATCTTGTACGTTACATGCTACGCAAGAGCGTGTTTACATCACTTAGGTGAATTATGCAACTCGCTTCCGCTTGTTGCACAACATTCACCTGCGTGATGTAAAAACGCTCTTACTACACTTGTAATGTAAATGGCTATTATTATCATTGTCGATTAATTTTGATGTCGGTTTTTAATCCTTAAATGTTTCCGAAGCTACAGTAGTAGGGGAAGCCAGAAGCGGGGGATAATAAGAGAAAAAAGGGGTAATAAGAGAACCCTAATTTGTATGTCTAAATCTAATAGGAGTAAAAGAATGAAAACATCAAGCAATAAGTGGTCCATGTGGTGATGTGAACAAATAATTTGGAAGATCTATGACTTTTAAAATTGGTAAAAAAAAATTTTCTCTAATTACCCCATAGATTTCTCCTACCAGTCCTACCCCAAGTGGAGTAATAAGAGATGAGGCTGTGATTTTCTTATTTGAAAGTATTCTGAAGTTTATGGGGTATAAAGAGAAACATTATATTAAGAAAAGCTTGAGAGGGTGGGGAAATATAATTTTTTTAAAAAACTTATTAAATATTGAATATAACGCTGTCAAAATTTAAGCGTAAAATTACAGAAATGAGGATTTCTTGAATGGTAAATATGCTAGAGCACCCAAACTTCAGTTTGTTTCACCTTAGGACATGAATGAAAAAGGAACAGTGTAATAAAAAAATCTAACTGCTTAAATTTCTTTAGTTTATATCCAAACAAATGCCCCGCTGCAGCAAACCTGCCGACTAAGCGAATTTCCATTTGCCTGAATTTATTTAACCCCGGTGACACTTCGCAATTGCTTGAATTCGAGCAACAGGTACACTAGTTTATCTATTAAATTAATATTATAGGTTAAACGAGTTCCTAGGTTTGCTGCTACAAGGAAACTAATAAAGTGTGTTTTTAGTCAAATATAGCTTAGTAAAGGATAAACAAATTTGCCAAGTTAGATCAAAATATATGAATATAATATTAGTAAGATATCTATAAATAGGCAAACTACAACATTTTACAATATTCTCCATAAGAATAATGTGGGAATTTTAAATGAAATTTTTTTTGAATTTTCTCCGTAACCAATAAAAAACTGTACAAAAAAACTTTGATATACTAAATTATTAGTTTTTTAAGCTTTTTAAAAAGGTCTGGAGAGAATTTGGGAAATTTTGTGTTTTGAGGGGAAAAAATGAGAAAACCCCAATTTTACCCCATAAAACCCTTTGTTATAGTCTGTCTAAAATAATTGTGCGGTTGGAATTCAACATATGATTTCCCTATCATGGTAAATCTCCCACTCATTTACCCTTTTCTACACTGAAATCCCCCGTAACAATCATCTGTTTTATATTGCAGACAGGTTTTTTAGGAAGCATTTGTTTATTATGATTGAACTACACACATAATAAAACAATAAGATTTATTTTAACAATAAATAATCTACGTCAATTTTATAATGTCGATATTGTAGCACAACGGATTGAGTTATCAAATAATTAAATAACTTACGTCATCAATCCATAAATTTCTGTGGAGTACGCGTTTCAACCATTAGGTCATCCTCAGCTCCACTGTCACTAGGTTGAATCTGTTTCTATGTTGCTTTGTAGCAACAGCGTCGATTTAAATAAATAGTCCAAACACATTTTACATTTATCACACATACACGACACGTACGAAACATTTAGGTAACGAAATACTATGATATAACACTGTGCGCACAGCTGGACGGGCTCAGGTTTGCGGCTACACTGACTCCACAGAAATTTATGGATTGATGACGTAAGTTATTTAATTAGTATCAATTTTAATTTCACTAAAAGTTTTGTTATAATGTAATATACATAATCCTGGACTAACATTTTTGCTTTTGATGGATTGTTTTAAATACAATTTCAGTTCTGGTAATGTAACTATACATTAGTAAATTAGTTAATATCGTAGTGAACTGGTTTCAAAATTCTAAAGCGATTCTTCACTTCTTTATTTTGTTGTTATTTTAATACCGTTGGTAATAGGAACTTTGTCAATGTCTCTAGCGGAGCCCTAAGGTCAGATCAGGTTGAAAACCATTGGGTTATCCTGTTTATGCCTGAATAATCAGTTTACAACATTAAACTCGTCAGGTAAATGACAAGTAGGAGCATTCAATTTTCTTTTACTGAGGATAAACTAACATAACAAATTGATAATACTATTTGAATGAACGAGTTATGTTTGGAAATACACACAAATTAAACCAATTGTATGTAACAGCTATATTAAAGTTTTTGCATTTTTCATAATTGTATAAATATTTCAAATCCTTAATAATAAAAGGCCAATATGCCTTAGTACACACCAAATAGAAAACAAATCTCGTAAAAACATATAAATTTAATTTGATTTTTAAAACATATATTAAACCACAAAATGAACACAATGATGTAAATTTAACAAATGTTAGTTGTAATGTGGACGTTAAAAAAGTACTGGAGACGTTCCATTACATCATTCACTCTCATAACTGGAAAGTAGATATTCACCACCATTTTCGCTTAAGCCATCAGAGTCAGTGTCATCCTGCAGATTTATAATAAATGCTTTTTTAAATAATTGTGCTATGGGAAGGGAAGGAAACAGGTCCGCGACGTAGGAAGTGGTGAAGGAAGTAGTAAAGGCGAGCTGTCCGGAGTGTGGGAACTGTTTATGACGATTAGATTAAGGTATTTCCAATCCTAAAATACTATGGGAAGGCAGGAAAACAGGTCCGCGACTTAGGAAGTGGTGAAGGAAGTAGTCAAGGCGAGATGTCCGGAGTGTGGGAACTGTTTATGACGATTAGATTAAGGTATTTCCAATCCTAAAATGCTATGGGAAGGGAGGAAAACAGGTCCGCGACTTAGGAAGTGGTGAAGGAAGTAGTCAAAGCGAGCTGTCCGGAGTGTGGGAACTGTTTATGACGATTATATTAAGGTATTTCCAATCCTAAAATGCTATAGGAAGGGAGGGAAACAGGTCCGCGACGTAGGAAGTGGTGATGGAAGTAGTCAAGGCGAGCTGTCCGGAGTGTGGGAACTGTTTATGACGATTAGATTAAGGTATTTCCAATCCTAAAATGCTATGGGAAGGGAGGAAAACAGGTCCGCGACGTAGGAAGTGGTGATGGAAGTAGTCAAGGCGAGCTGTCCGGAGTGTGGGAACTGTTTATGACGATTAGAAAAATTAGATTAAGGTATTAGCATTCCTAAAATGCTATGGGAAGGGAGGGAAACAGGTCCGTGACGTAGGAAGTGGTGAAGGAAGTAGTCAAGGCGAGCTGTCCGGAGTGTGGGAACTGTTTATGACGATTAGATAAGGGTATTGGCAATCCTAAAATGCTATGGGAAGGGAAGGAAAGGAAACAGATCCGCGACGTAGGAAGTGGTGAAGGAAGTAGTAAAGGAGAGTTGCCCGGAGTGTGGGATCTGTTTATGACGATAAGATTAAGGTATTTACAATCATAAAATGCTATGGGAAGGGAGGGAAACTTGTCCGTGACTTAGCAAGGAAGGAAGTAGTAAAGGCGAGCGGTCCAGAGTGAGGGAACTATTTATGACAATAAGATTAGGGTATCTGCAATCCTAAAATGCTATGGGAAGGGAGGAAAACAGGTCCGCAACGTAGGAAGTGGTGCAGGAAGTAGTCAAGGCGAGTAGTCCGGAGTGTGGGAACTGTTTATGACGATTATATTAAGGTATTTCCAATCCTAAAATGCTATAGGAAGGGAGGGAAACAGGTCCGCGACGTAGGAAGTGGTGATGGAAGTAGTCAAGGCGAGCTGTCCGGAGTGTGGGAACTGTTTATGACGATTAGAAAAATTAGATTAAGGTATTAGCATTCCTAAAATGCTATGGGAAGGGAGGGAAACAGGTCCGTGACGTAGGAAGTGGTGAAGGAAGTAGTCAAGGCGAGCTGTCCGGAGTGTGGGAACTGTTTATGACGATTAGATAAGGGTATTGGCAATCCTAAAATGCTATGGGAAGGGAAGGAAAGGAAACAGATCCGCGACGTAGGAAGTGGTGAAGGAAGTAGTAAAGGAGAGTTGCCCGGAGTGTGGGATCTGTTTATGACGATAAGATTAAGGTATTTACAATCATAAAATGCTATGGGAAGGGAGGGAAACTTGTCCGTGACTTAGCAAGGAAGGAAGTAGTAAAGGAGAGTTGCCCGGAGTGTGGGATCTGTTTATGACGATAAGATTAAGGTATTTACAATCATAAAATGCTATGGGAAGGGAGGGAAACTTGTCCGTGACTTAGCAAGGAAGGAAGTAGTAAAGGCGAGCGGTCCAGAGTGAGGGAACTATTTATGACAATAAGATTAGGGTATCTGCAATCCTAAAATGCTATGGGAAGGGAGGAAAACAGGTCCGCAACGTAGGAAGTGGTGCAGGAAGTAGTCAAGGCGAGTAGTCCGGAGTGTGGGAACTGTTTATGACGATTAGATAAGGGTATTGTCAATCCTAAAATGCTATGGGAAGGGAGGAAAACAGGTCCGCAACGTAGGAAGTGGTGCAGGAAGTAGTCAAGGCGAGTAGTCCGGAGTGTGGGAACTGTTTATGACGATTAGATAAGGGTATTGGCAATCCTAAAATGCTATGGGAAGGGAGGAAAACAGGTCCGCAACGTAGGAAGTGGTGCAGGAAGTAGTCAAGGCGAGTAGTCCGGAGTGTGGGAACTGTTTATGACGATTAGAAAAATTAGATTAAGGTATTAGCATTCCTAAAATGCTATGGGAAGGGAGGGAAACAGGTCCGTGACGTAGGAAGTGGTGAAGGAAGTAGTAAAGGCGAGCTGTCCGGAGTGTGGGAACTGTTTATGACGATTAGATAAGGGTATTGGCAATCCTAAAATGCTATGGGAAGGGAGGAAAACAGGTCCGCAACGTAGGAAGTGGTGCAGGAAGTAGTCAAGGCGAGTAGTCCGGAGTGTGGGAACTGTTTATGGCGATTATATTAAGGTATTTCCAATCCTAAAATGCTATAGGAAGGGAGGGAAACAGGTCCGCGACGTAGGAAGTGGTGATGGAAGTAGTCAAGGCGAGCTGTCCGGAGTGTGGGAACTGTTTATGACGATTAGAAAAATTAAATTAAGGTATTAGCATTCCTAAAATGCTATGGGAAGGGAGGGAAACAGGTCTGAGGCGTAGCAATTGGTAAAGGAAGTAGTCAAGGCGAGCTGTCCGTAGTGTGGGAACTGTTTATGACGATTAGATTAAACAACCTTAACACCCTTAACAACCTTAGATTAAGATACCTTAAGGTATCTGGAATCCTAAAATGTGATGGGAAGCAGTGTGGAGTTTGGGAATGGATTTATGTATCTGCAATACTAAGACTGCTTTCATAGTAAACTAATGATTTTCCCCGAGCAAAGCTCATTCCCCAGGTACTATACACTAAAGAAAGAATTGAACCCTCACGGCTTAACCCTGGCCTATAGAACGTCTAACAAACTTGGGGCGAAACTAAATAAAAGACTGCCGAATAACAATAAACCGAATGAATTAGCTACTGGTACATATAAAATTAAATATTCAGACTGTCCAAACTATTACATAGGTCAGACCGGCAGATCATTTAAGAAACGTTTTTCCGAACATTTGCCTAAACCAAAACATACAGAACAAAAATCCAAGTTTGCTGAACATTTATTAAATTCAAACCATACTGTTAATAGCTTTAATGAGAATGCAGAAATTCTAAATGTTTGTAAGAAAGGCTTCATCCTTGACACACTCAAAGAATTTGGGATATACAAAGCCACTAAATCCGACCCATACAAAATGCTTAATGAAAAACTTAATTATGGCTCAAATAAATTATTCAATACAGTTTTAGATTACTTTGGTAACAATTATGTTGGCAACATGAGTCCTGGGGGCACAGCTGAAAAACGGAATGGAGTGGGGTAAACAGTCATTGTCGACCAGTTCAGTGACGTGCGCCGGCCGGCCAACTATGTTAAATGTCTACCGTGTTCGTGTTGTGTTTGTGTTCAATATATTTAAGAAGATTTGACGACATTCAATGAATGAAACATTTTAACGTTCTGTTTCGAAAATGACTACTTAGGGGTGACGATGATGATGACTGTGGGAGATTCTTATGATTTCACCGCTATTAGAGGGAATTCCACCACAGGGTTGGGGGCCACTCAATTAATTTGGCCTAGGGCCGCGCGTACCTTAAATCTTGCACTGCTACTCGCACTAGTTACACAAATAACTATTTATTAAATGTATATTTGTTAAGACTTGTACTTCTTTTCTTTACACATTTTAGTCTGAATAGATTTATTATATTTTTAATTTAAGAGCACTAGAGACAGTGGGATCAAGTAATTAATAATTATGAATTGACAAGCCCAGTTTCCAAGTTATGACTAGTTCCTTATCGAATTACATTTTAATAAATACACATTTTTGCGGTCACAAGGAGAAACTGCCAGCAGATAATAAAGAGTTAACTGTAAACAAAATCCATCCTCAAGGTAATCCCCAGTGGTTTTTAAAACATCCTCTATTAATTCAAAGAAGATTTGTTCTGGATTGAATTGATTGGTAATCTAAAGAAATTACACTACATTTGCTCATATGGTATTTATGCCGAAGCAGACATATACCTTTTATGATTCTAGTGTACTAACCCAATTTCCATTTTAGATGGAATAGACTTAGCCTGCTTGAAGTGATCCAGAGCGGCCTGGGCTGCAGAGGTGAACAGATAGTCATCAGGTACGGTCGGCACACCCATCCTAGCAGCAAACTCATTGACTGCTTCACCCCCCAGGAAGGCATGTGGGGTTTCCACCATTACTCGACGAGCTAAAGATATGGGATGGGCGATATTCTTCACCAGAGTAACAGCTCCTGTCCATAATAAGGATATAAGATCAGTAAATGCAGCATCAAACAGTAGAGTCCTGCTATATATTAAAAAAATTCAACAATTCCAAACAACAAGAAAAGAATATTTCCAACACTCTATATACATAAATTAGCTCACTTCCCTATGACACAATTGCGGTTTACTGATTTAAAAGCCATAAATGTCTATCAAACTAAGTGATTCGGATGAATTTTGTTTTCTAAAAGGGTTGGCAGATGTGTATATCTAATATATAAAATTCTCGTGTCACAGTGTTTGTCTGCAAACTCCTCCGGAACGACTTCACCGATCGTTATGAAATTTGGTGTGTAAATTCTGTAGGTATGCGAATCGGACGTAAACTATTTCCCGTTTCGAAATTCTTAAAAGGGCTCCGCCCCAGTGGCTCTGGAGTTTTCCATGTTAACCTTATGAGAAATGGAATTAATGAATCTTAACAGCTGTTTCAATTAAACAAGTTGGTTCTGTTCTATGATGTTCAATAGCATTAAAGTTACAAGGATTACCAACAGGGTGCAGCACTATTATTTCTTTTACATTTATGACAACAGCTAATTTGCAACCAAAAGGTGAGTGAGCGTAGCGAACGAACTTCAACCTGGAGGCGAGTGAGCGTAGCGAACGAGCTAACCTGAAGGCAAGTGAGCGCAGCGAACGAGCTCCAACCTAAAGGTGAGTGAGCGTAGCGAACGAGCTCCAACCCAAAGGTGAGTGAGCGTAGCGAACGAACTTCAACCAGGACGTGATTGAGCGATGCGAACGAGATCATCTTGAAAATTAAACGTAACGGTACTTTCTTTCCATCGGTCTGTCTTAGGGGAAACCTATAACTTAGGCGATACGAAGTTCGCCGGGTCAGCTAGTATTTTATACAACCACAGCCACCTCTAATACAAGGCCGCGACGTTCGAACTGGCAACGCCGCACTCACCCGCCGCCTGAGTCCAGCACTCGTGCTAGGCTATAAACATCAATGAGAGTATTGCTGCTCTGTATCAGTGAATGAAAGTATTTAAATTACATATTTTAGTGGGTTTTAGGGTATGGTAGAATAGACAAATTAGAATCTAGGTTTTGTATTTATAGAAAAATTGCAACATACCACAATATGTCTAAAACTAAAAATACAAACATAATGTTTTTGGTTGCATTTATCGTATTGTAAGTACGATAAATGTGGCAATAGACGAACGTTACATATTTCCTTTGTTAATTTGATAATCTATACTATTATATAACAATCTTATGGTATCTGTATATATGTGTGTGTTATTCAACATAGTAAAAACTACTAGACAGACTGGGTTTAAATTTTACAAAATATAGCTACTATACCAAGAATGGTAACACAGTAGGACTAACTTATTGCCACTTCAATATTTGTAGAGACTTTGGGATTTGTAGAGACTAACATCTAACAATTTGTTCGAATAAATTAATTTTCAATTTTCAATAGGAATATTATGTTTTAGTCCACCTGAGGAAACCATTAGTTAGCAACAACAAAATTTGAAGTTTTCTTTTTGTAGGCATACTACCTAAATAATTAATTTTCTTTAAATAATTACTAAGCAAAATGTTTTTAATTTTGTAAACGATTTCAGAAGCTAGGCCTCCATATGGCTTTCCACAATATTTATAGAATTGGTTTATCACATCAACATTTATACTGGAGTCGGAGACTATGATGCTTTTATTGTTAGACGGTGTAGTACATATTTTTTACTAGTAGGCCTACTTAACAGAAACACCTGTTTATTTCTTCGAAGTGCTAGTTATTTAAGTTATTTGAATCACTTAACAACAGCTTTTATCAATAAGATAGACAAATAAATAAGCAAATAGTACGGCATTCTCATACCTAAAAATCGCTACTCGCGTCTTTATTTACACAAATCATTGTCTTATTCTTACATTTTTTTACAAATCTAAGTTCATATTCGTGAAAATGTTTCATACAAAAACGAGAATTGTTTTAAGATGTCTAATTTGACCGAAGAATAGCGAGAAGCCATTGTTGCTTACGCGGCGGATCACTTAGAATCTTAGAACACTGTATGTATTATTAATTTTTAATTGAGCTTTTGTAATTATTCTTGCATCCAGGCACATCACATCTATCTGGAATGCAGTAGTATCAAGTTCAATATCATTACTAATGATTAAGGGTAGTAGAAACGCGATTATGTACGTCGGTACGCGACTCCTCCATTCACTGTAATGGTAAGACAACCGCGCACCGAGACACGGATGCAACGTTGCCACTTTTCGCTTGCCGCGGCCTTGTATTAGAGGTGGCTGTGATACAACAGATGTAACAAGATCAAAAAGGTATCTATTTCGCGTCCTCATCCCGTTGCAAAGCATGGGTACAACAGCTAGTATATTATAACTAGAGAACCCGTGCGGCTCTTGTGCTTTTCACACTAAATCTTTATTATTTTGTGTTTTTACGTTTAGGCCCCATGGGATGTTTGGAAGTGATATTAAATACATTTTTAACCGACTTCCCCACTACCAACAAAAGGAGGAGGTTCTCAATTTGTCTGTGGCGATGTTTTTTTTCTATGTATGTTCACCAATTTCTCTGCGATTCTTTTACCGATCAGCGTGGTTCCACCACCAAAATAACCAGGAGAGTTTCTATTTTGTACCATATATATAGCATTATGTTTAAGTGTAATATTTGTTTCGGTGAAAAATGCTGAAAACCTAAAATATTCAACATTTAATTTGTTTATATTTGTGCAGAGAAGTCAATAAATAATAATAATATTCCTACAGCTGTTAGTTGAAACCATTTAAATGAAGCTACAGACAGTTCTTCGTGAAACAGTTGCTTCATATTGATTAATAAACTATTTCTTACCATGGTGCCTAAATAAATTACATTGAAAAAATGTATTTCGTTTTGGTTACTATAAAAAAGGTATTTCAACGTTTGACCTAATTTGTGTATAATTCTGTTTTGAGTATTGAATATTCTGACTTACAAAAACATACTGAATAGCTGTATGATATTGACAAATAAAGGTGTATTGTGAAAACCAAAGCATTCGTAAAAGAGGTCCAAATATAAATTAAATGCAATTATTCCTTATAGGACCGAAGAAGTGTGAGAGTGCATAATCGTCAATCGTCTTAAAAGTGTTAAATATTTTAATTACTAAACATGCATTTGCAGATGTGGAATGTTTATTAATATTCTCCAACCATGTTCTATATCATATCAATACTATTATGCCTGCTTCGGAAAGTCCTAGAGGAAACTGATTTGCAATTTTGAGTTACACTACATCTTGAGCAAACAAAACCACCTACCCCTTACACCACTTTTAGCTGAACCAGTCTTTCATATACATATATTCCTACATATTTTACAAAGGTACTATACGTGATAACAACCAATTTTCTACTTTTGAGAGATTTTTTAGTGCTGGTGGCTGAGGAATAACTTTTATATTGTTCCAAAAGGCTTGAGACATTACTGTATTTTTTTTTATAATGTAGAAGTACACCGATTTCAGGAAATGATAATGTCTGGCATTTCAATGTCTCTAGGAAAGACAATTAGTTTTTCATTAGGCCTGGCCTAACGTAATGGACAACTCTTTGTTGTTTAGGGGAAATCTAAAAATGTTAATTTTTATACCCATTGATTATATACCGGTAACCTGAACAGGCGACTCAAGCAGTTTTAAGATAATGATTGTTCTGTGACACTTTTGATTGGTTCAAACAGTTTTGCTTATCGAAAAACCTCAAGTAATCAGTATATAAAAAATTATACAGTCACTAAAAATCATGAAATAATTTATTTTTGTAAAAAAATACAACCGACTTCAAACGCTCTAAAAAGAATGAAATAATTTCAGTAAAGTAAGTTTTTTATTGGTCAAGCTCACGTATTTCAAGTCGGCGTGGCTCTAACTGCAAATATGAATACAATAAAAGATTGAGAGTGTATTTTGAAAATCAATAAATTGTAGCTGGGTAACATAAATATATAAAAAACATACTGAACTATTTTGTTTATATATCAAATGAAGTATTTTCTTGTATTTTATGTTTACATCAGAATGAATGCACTATGAAAATAACACACATAAATGTTCTATATGAATAGGAAACTGATTTATTTTTGATATATGATAGGGAAAAGAATCTAGTTAAATATTAAAACGTTACTTTTCCAAGCTAGAAACATTAAAATCATTATAATCTTTTTAAAGATACTCGTTAATACCACTATAAGATTTTAATTTATTATCCTATTTCAAAAAAGTTATGATGGTATCTGCCGATCTTTGGTTACAGTAATAAAATAACGACCTATGAAAAAGACACGCAGATTAACACCTTTAGTTATAGATAGCCACATGCAATGTAGACATCCTCTTTAAATGTTGTATCAAAAATCATTATAGAGCCGCGCCGACTTGAAATACATGAGCTTGACTAATAAAAAAGTTTACTTTATTGAAATTATTTCATTCTATTTAGAGCGTTTGAAGTCGGTTGTATTTTTTTACAAAAATAAATTATTTATTTAAATATTATTCACTAAAATATATTATTGGAACATATTTTTTAAATATTTAATAGATTCAAAAACATATTTTTTATATATTTAATATAATTTAAATATTATATAAAATTGACATTAATACACACTTGAGATATATAAAATAGATTTTAAATATATTTATTCATATGTATTTAATATATATTTGTGCTACTAGGTAATTGGCTTAGACGCATACTCAAATCGTGAATCTCTTCATCCTTTTGCTGAATTACCAACTGTACTTTCTCCAACTTTTCTTCCAGCTTCGGTAGAAGTTCCAGCTTGTGGATAATATCATTGACTATTGGATACAGAAGATATTCCATACTATTATTGTTGTATTAATAGTCAAAGATAATATCCTCACTGTTCCCTTATGAAGTGCTGACTTTTAATAACTTCCTTGCTGTCTTC